ACGCACTGCACATGCCCGGAGCAGGGGAGAGAGCTGCCTTCTACTCAGTTCTTCTTCGACCGCCTTTCTGTTCACACCTCGTCAGCGATCACTCTTCAATTCGCCTCAGCTCTTTCCTCTTTTTCACTTCTGTCTCTAGTTGTTTCCTCCTTTTTTCTTCGTTTTTGCTCTTAAAAAAAAAGAAATAAATTTCCTAAGCTATTTTTCTCTCACTTTCATTCTTTGCACTTCCCCCCCTTCCCCTCCCCTTTGGTCCGGAAGGTTTTGCATGGGCAGCACCCTATTTTTCAAGTCATGTCGCCATTGTCCAGCAAAACTTCCATCTAACGACGGCCACAACCTTTGTTTAATTTGTTTGGGGGAATTTCACCAGGTCGATTCCTGATCGCACTGCGCTAAGTTTACTAGGCAGGCCCATAGAAATAGAGCTGCCCGCCTTCGAACAATACTTCTGGAAGCCGCATTATGCCCTACGATGTCCTCCGCGGTCTCTCATGCCTCCTCTGCCCAGAAGCCTTCTTCTCACTCTGAGAACACCAAGTCTCTCAAACAAAATCCAAAAAATGAGACGACAAGCCCTCTTCAACTCCAAAATCAAAGCTGGTGAAATCAACTTCGGCTCCCAAACTCGGACTTCCGGCGGTGCGGCGTTGCGCCCGGGCGCATTTCTCGGAGCTCCCGAGAACGCCCCTCTCCCGAGCGCTTCTTTGGAGCCCCCTGAGGTTCGGGGGAGCTCCACTCGCTTCTCCTGGAGGGAGGGCGGGAGCAGGAGGCTTGGCCGCGCCCCCCGTTTCCACGGCAAGGGCGGGGGTGAGACCGGCTCGCCCCGAAGCAGGAGCGCCGAGCAGCAGAAAACATGGTCGCCATGTTTTCTATAGCAGCAGCCAGCCGCGATTTTAAACTTCACTCTTGGTGTATATTTTGAGTTTCGTTTTCGTCTTCACGCCACCCAGAAGGAAACTACCTAACCTAACTGAAGTGGATGCAACTATTGGCTACTCCTCCTCTGTTTTTTCGGCGG